AAACAGATATTTGCAACCTTCTCAGAGTGCAAGGGCACCTTGTCAGTATTCAACACCAAATCAGATACGAACTCTGAAAACGTGTCTAAAAATTCAGAGTAAGGACCTGGTGGTTAAAGAAGGAAGAGGTTTTGTGGCTTTGCAATTTGGATGATGGAAACTAAGGGTTAAATGTTGAAAAGGGTTGTAACTATTAACTGCCTTAGTCAGTAAGACCAACTGAAAGATTGTTGCTACTTCGCCTCCTCACCCAGAATTCCTGGGTATGTGAAAACCCTCTTGCTGCAGCCCAGTTTCTGTAAGGCAACATAAATCAATATGATTATCAAAAATCAAGTCATTAACTGCCTTTTTGAAGAGAGAGATCTTATGTTAAATAAACAACATTTAATAGTTTTATATTTCCCCCCATTTGGAGTATTTTTTGTTTTGTTAGATTGATTGAAAGACTTTAGGATTCTTTTCTAATTTATTTGATTTTAGTTGTCGGCAAGACACTGTGTGCATGAAGTGGGAAGCAATAAAGAAGCTGCAGAGAGGTGTATTAAACTATGACTCTGCTTCCTGGTCTGGTCTGCACCCTGAGTAGTCAGGGTTTTGAAGGACTAATGCATTTGGTCAGATTCCTCCAAAGAAGAGATGCACCATCCATAGTGGGGTGGATGCTGTTGGTTCTGAAATGTGCGGATGGTGTCTTGGTGCTGTTTTCAGCATCTGGTACTCGGACCTGTAGGACTCCATGTAAGAAGTGTGGATGCCTACCTGAGAGGAGGAGAGTAAGGAGGCGGTGGGTCATGGCTGTCCTGTGTCTGGGAGGCCTGTAAAGGCTGAGGGAAGCGCTGATGGGGCGTCCCAGGAGATGTCAACCCCTGAAAACGGGCCACCATTTCTGCAAGCAGGACCTCTGGCATCTCCCCTGGTCTTACTGGTGGAGACATGGCTGGATGCTGGCCAGCCAAGCTGGGATGTTCCCCTCCGCCGGTCATCTGCTTGAAGTGTTCTGTGATTTCCTTTAAGGTTCGGTTAATGTGGAGCTCTGGCCGCTTGTTGAAGGAGTCTTTGCACATCGGGCACTGGTAAGTCTTGGCGCCACGCCCTCTCCCTCCACTGTTCCAGTAGGACGTCAGGCAGGACTGGCAGAAACTGTGTCCACATGGTGTTGAGACTGGATTGGTGAATATTTCCAGACAAATGGAGCAGGTGAACTGGTCTTCAGAGAGAAAGGCAGTGGGCAGAGACATGGTCCTCAGGGTCCAGCTGTGTGACAAACAAAGCAGCAGAAATTAGACAAACACTCCTTCACTGTTTAAAGGCTGCAGTGATGAAAATGAATCCAGTGAGGGTTTAGAGATAATAAAAAGGCTTCCTTGAAATATCTGAACCATTCTTTTATCTATTATACCTTTTTGTCTGAACTTAATGTTTCCGATTTTCACTGAAAAATATCCCCAGTCCCTCTGCCTCCCAGTCACACCCACACCTGAGCTCCTGCTGCACCAGCAGAGACTGGATTCTGTCCATCTAAAAGTGAACCTGTGTGTTTGTGAAAACACTCCCCCCTCCAACAGGAACTGACATTCTAACCAGTAAGACCAGCTGCTCTACAGGTAGCACCAGTTGGAAGCACAGCTAAGGCTTCAGGTATGAAGCTCACACACTGATCTGGGATCAAAACTAAGATGTTCTTTGTTTTCCTTTATTCCTCTAACATGATTCAGCACTTTGAGCCAAAGACATGCGGTGGACAGACAGACATTTCCCTCACTGCAAAAACACTTCAGAGCTGATGGTTGAAGAAGTTAAAAACGCTTTTCTTCTGAAGGCTCTAACTCCGACCGTGTTTCAAATTGTCCCTGAGACCAGCCTTGAAAATCCATCGACCTCCTGATGTCCACCTGCAGCCGTGACTCCAACTAATAAAAAGTGTCGACATGAAGGCCCTCAGCTGCTATGAGCTACAGAAAACCATTTTCACAGTAAAATGCAGGATGTTCAGTCAGAGTAGGGTGTTCAATCAGAGCAGGGTGTTCAATCAGAGCAGGGTGTTCAATCAGAGCAGGGTGTTCAATCAGAGCGGGGCGTTCAGTCAGAGCAGGGTGTTCAATCAG